GGAAACACAAATGGGTTTCTACACAAAGTTTCCTCAAGTCATTGGTGTACCTTATGTTTAATTCGGTAATTTTTTTTTATTTTTTTTTATTTTTTGAGAATGAATGAAAAATGCTATGATCGAGATGTAAAGGAAATTTACTCATTTTATTAATGGAAAAGGTGAACGAAACACATGAAACATATAAAAATTCAAAATGGAAAACCTATGCTAGACTTGAATTGGGGAATGGAGATGAATGATAAAGAAAAAGAAATCATGAAATCTTGCACGAAGGATCTGCTGTGCGCCTTGTGTCCATTACTTCTTGCCGCCTGGAGGGACAGGAAGTTTGTTTGCATCCATCAAGTCTTGAATGACGTCCTTCAAATTCCAACATTGATCCGTAGTGTGGCCCATTCCTTGATGGTACTTCCAATGGGCATTGGGATTCCATTTGGCGCTCCTTTATTCAGGTTTTGGCTCTGGAAATGGCCCAATAGGTGTGATCAAGCCTTGACCGTAAAGGCGATCAAAGGTCGCATGATAAGTCATTCCTAAAGGAGTGTAAGTTCTTTTCATCTTGGGCAATGGAGCATCAAGAGCTAACACTTCATTGAGATCAACTTGGCTTATATTGTTGGTAGTATTTTCGTGCTTAGAAGACAAAGAAGAAGGATGGTCGTTCTTCTTGTTTTTCCAAGCGTTATTATTGTTACTACCAGCAGTCTTTATTAGCTCATCCTCGATGTTGATGTCAATATCGTATACAGCTTCGAAAGTGTTCAGTGGAAGAAATTTGAGATGTTCCCTATACTTATGAGTCGGATTTTTGAATAAAGAGGCGAACCATCTCTCTTTCTACGGGAGGATCTACCAAGAGTGAAGCCTTTTCCCTCCACCTGTTCAGATAAGCGGTGAAGCCTTCATTCTCTTTCTGTTTGAGAATGGAGAGTTCACATTAAGAAGTTTTAGTTTGAATGTTACACTTGTAACGATTCATGAAATTGTCGGTGACATCTTGCCAAGTCACAGTACTCTTGGCATCTAGGGAATAAAACCATTGTTGGCAAGCATGTTCTAATGAGAGGGAACACCGTAGGGAAGAGTGTTACGCCGAATCCCTAAGAGCTATGGTTGTAGAAAATGCCTTCAAATGGAATATTGGATTGTCAGTAGGCTTGAACTTTGGAATATTAGCAGTGGAGAACTTTTCAGGGAGCCTGTCTTTCACATCCAAATGAGTGGGAGGCTGCTCCATATAAGTGAAATCCTCGAAAATCTTACTAATTTGTTACTTCAATTTGTCAAGGGTAGAAACAGTGACCTTGTTTTGTTCCATGGTAGTGACCCTAGTGGTAAGGGTTTCCATCATGGCAAACAGTGTCTCGATGGATTTGTTGATGTTCTCAATATCTTCCTTAGTGGCCATTGAAAGGTGATAATTAATGTGGAGATGGCGAAATTCTCTTTGAACGCCTCTTGGATTTAAGAGATTGTTGCGGTAATGACTCAAACCGTATTAATCTACCCCTGCTCCTTGACCAAGTACTGTGAAATTAAACAATTCACTTAATTGTTTGACTCATTGCTCAAGATAAAAAAGGAAGGAAAAAATAGACATTTGAAAACATGCGAGAATAAACTCCACTCATTTCTTATTATGACGAAAAAGGTGCATGAACCTAGTATATGATCATAAACGACATGGTGCACGACTCAAGTCGGAACATAAAGAAAGTGTGTTGACTATACTCGACTCATGAGTGATTAAGTGACTGACACGTGGACCAAATTAGCACGGAAGACCAAAATAGGAGCTAACTGGACTAAAACTATGGCACCGTGTCGCGGTGCAACTGTCGTGTCACGGAAAACCTGCACCGTGGCGTGATACAGGCTGTCGTGACATGGTACTGATTGCCGTGACGCGGCTTTTTTGTCGTGTCACGGTAAGCAGTTCCAGTTTTTTTTTTTTTTTTAAAAAAAAAATTAGAGTTTGTGCTATTACTAAGTGAGTACGGTCCATTAGCAATTGTTAGTCATAAAATAATCCACCATAGACAAAGAAAGATCGTTAAGGTTAGGCTCAAAACGACCAAATATACACACATAGGACACGTAGGCACAATGATGCAAAAAAAAAGTTCGCAACCTAAGGCCCAGTTCTATGTTCCACTATGGTCAGGTTTTATTTGGTGTCAAAAGGGTACCATGGTTAAGAGTTTGGACGCGTTAGTTAGGCAGCCTCCCTTGAGGGTGTATGCCAACGGGCGGCTTCGCGAGTTCGTGATGAAATCGAACTCGACTCCATGGTTTGGGTGAATTTAAAAAATCGGATGAACCCTTATTTCCATGAGCGATTTTGGGTTGATAGAGATTAAATCCCCTGGGGCTAAGACGTATGTAGAACACACACGTTTTTTCAGAATAATCGAAGGAAGCTGACTGTGAGAAGAGAAATAAAGCCACTGGAAGGATTTCAGGACTACCGTGACACGACAGAATACACCGTGTCATGGTGCCAAACACCGCGTGACGGTGCCTAGAGCCGTGACACGGCAAGCTCTGCCGTGGCGTGGCAGTTAGGAAATCTGACTGTTGCCTCTGTTTTCTTCTTTCAAGACCAGGTTATCCAATTTTCCCTACGGGACAGACCTGAGATACGATGTTAAAACGTCTATGCATATGCAAAAATGCCAAATTAATCACAACAATACTTTTCAAGAATCTTTCAAGTCTCATCCACTCATCTTAATTAAATACTGATCACTCAAACCGATGATAAATAACCAAGAATCCTCCCCAGTGGAGTCGCCAAATTGTAGGCGTCGCTCGAAGTGTGCTTGCGTTAAGCATGTGTGAATATGCTTGACACTCATAGGAAGTAGGAATTGACATATACGATTAGGGACAAGGAAAGTAGGGAGCCGCCAACAAGTTTTTAAGGAACTTGTAAACCGTTCACGGATTATAAAAGGCAACCACGATCAAGGGACAACGAAAGGCAACAACGATTGACCCATGAAGGTTACACCCCATTCATAATCCAAGATATTACTAACTCCATATGGTTCGGAACCACAAAAGGAGGATCGGAGATGATGGTACGTAGTGAGTCATGGAGTCACTTTCGCCCATATTGGCCTCCACTCGATTCTTATAGTCAAAAGTGATTCCTGTGATCTCAAAGGCATGAAAACAAAGATATTCAATTTGCTCATTATTATATTAAATTGGTTAAAATATTAATACAAAACATAATTCTAAAATATCGTGACCACTTGATTAAACAACACGATTAAAAAGAAATCTAAACCGGTTGTCCAAATTATCTTATTAGGCGTGATTTTCAATTACATATTCCCTTTAAACATGCAATATGGTGATTAATAAATATAAAATAAAATAAACATTAATATTGGAAGCAATTTAACAATAATAACGTTAGTCAAATCGAATAATAAATTAACCTAATCATGATACTAGCAATAAGAATAAATATAAGTAATTAAATTAATTAGTTACTCACATTCTGCGCGTTCCTTTAAATTGCTACATCATGAATACATTGTTAGTATCTTCAATAAAAAATATAAATCAAATGGAAATTAAATTAAATTAAATAAAAAGTAGAGTTGATTTGGTCCAAACCCTCTGTTAATTATACCTTCCACGCCTTGGTTTAAGGACGGAACCTCGAGTTAAGTATGGACTCCTTGGAATACTTAAGGGAAAAATGGTGTAAATACGAATATAGGATTAAGGCTTAAAGTATGAGAGAGAAAGAAGAGAATGATTTTTGGTGTGAAAGAGAGAAGGATTTTATGCCCCAAACTGCAGAAAGAGGGTCTTATTTATAGGGAAAAATGAGTAGAGGGAACACACGGAACCCTAAAAAGATAAAAAAAAAACCCTAAAAATTAACACCGCGACACGGCAGAGAACACCGTGACACGCTGCAAAATCGCATGACGCGGGGAAAATTGGTGTGACGCGGGACATATTTGACCTACGGGAAGTGAAAACGCGTGAAGAGTTTACGCGGAAAAGACACGAGAAAATTCCATGACACGACACACGTACCGTGACACGGCAGTGTCCACCGTGGCACGATATAGTACACCGTGTCACGGTATGGGAAAATGCGGAAATTACCCGGAAAAAGCACCGTGACACGGTGAGAAATACCGTGTCACGACAGCAGGTACCGTGTCACGGCAACAAGTACCGTGTCACGACAACAGGTACCATGCCACAGTAGATTTTCACGCGAAAAAGCTTCAAAAATAGCACCGTGACACAATTTAAACTACCGTGTCATGGAACCAGGCACCGTGCCACGTCATCAGGCGCCGTGACACGGTGCTTTTATATTGTGCGCGATAATTCCAATTTTCTACAGGTTTTTAAAATCATCATAACTTTTTATCCGTAACTCGGAATAAGGATATAATATATTATTGAAAAGATTATAAAGTCTACTTTCCAATTCAATTGGAATCGGGTCAAAATCATTTGTAGATTTTAAGATATGGCCATTTTAGTAGAAGGGTATTGGTTTTGGGCCGAGTTTAGTGTTTGGCTCATATCTTCTTCGTTTTAAATCAGAATTGGGGTTATGATATATGGTTGGAATGAAAGCTTATTTCAATGCCTATCCAACCAAATAATATTTGGATCAAAATTATTAGGCCAAAAATTCAGTTTCTCTCGATTTTGCGATGTGGACACGAAAAGAGGAAAACAAGTTATGATTTAAGGAAATGATGAGCTAGGAAATGAATTGGTTTATGAAATGTATTGGATATAACATGGATTTAAGCACTCCAAAGACTAAATACTCAACCCTACCAGTAATGGCGGTGAAAGGTTGTTCATCATCGGGTTTGGTATTGGGGAGACATTTTTAGGTGTCTACGGGTTGTAGCAATAGTAATTATTACTTGTATGATTTAATTAATTAATAAATAGTAATTCAAAAAAACAAAAATGCAAGGAGTAGTAATTTACGTGTAGACAAGTTTTCCAAGTAGTAGTTGACAAATTTGTCCAATATTAGTTCGTTAACATAATAAAATAAACCAAAATTAAAGAATAAGTGTACTTTCTACATACAATGATTAACAAATAAAAGAATCAAGCAAAAATAGGAGGAACGGTCTTCATCTCCAATAATCCATTTTCTTGAGGAGTCAAATTCAAATCCAAATCCAAACTCAAAAGACTTCCACCCTTTCTCTTAGTCCCAATTGAACAATCATAACTTGGAGGACTTGACAAAGATAAAGAAAGATGAGGAGGAGAAGGGAGTAAAGACTCACTAAGGGCAGCTCTATGCCGCCTCATATGACCTCCTAGAGCTTGCCCTAATGGAAACGTTACTCCACAAATTAAACACTTGTGCATCTTTGGCTTTTCCTTAATCGTATGATCCGTCGAGTGATCATTGTCATCGTGGTTATGATCGTTGCTTGTTGCTCGGGGTCTCTTGTGGCTAGCCCTATGCCCTCCTAAGGCTTGGAATGAAGGAAACTTACGGTTACATGTTGTGCACTCGAATACACGACCTTCATTGTGTGTCACAGTTGCGGTCTTTAGCCCTTGTGATAACATCACTAAGTAGTTTGCCATAGCTAGTGTGCTTTCTACGTTGTAGTTTTCCTCTCTACTCCTCTTTAGCACCATATCTTCTTTGGTTCGTAATTGATTGCTAAGTTTTGGGTATTGTGGAATAATTTTGTGTTGTTTAAATGGTTGAGGGTTTTTATAAAGTTATTCAAGTGAGTTAGTTTGTTTGACTTTGCTAAATGGTAAGTTTGACTAATTAGTTGTTTACCAAAATGTTCTAGTGTAAAATATTATATTAATTTGTACTAGTAGATGTATATTAGTACTTTAGTTGGTGAATTAGAAATTAGGAAAAGGGGGAAGTATTTGTTTTTTTAGGTGGAAAATTCGGTTAAATGAGAAAAATTGAAAGAAAATTGTTTCTCAACAACCTTGAGGGCGAACTTAGAACTTCTAGAATCTAGAATGAAAGGAAAATGTTAGGCTGACAACATATTCTACGTAACACACAAAATGAATAATGCATAATTGAGATTACTATCATAGTTATTAGATTAGTAAGCGTAATTCTGCATGTAATTATGTACCAAAAAGAACCAACATATTGAAGTCGTCATTTTATGAGTAGTCATGACAATGAAGATTATATAGCCAATTTAGATGGCGTGCCAATTTATTATTTCTCATGTGTTTTCTAATTGAAAATGGCTATTATGGTATTGAAAGTTCATCCATTCAGTAAAAAAAATAAATAGACTTCCTTTTCAAAAAAATAAAATAAAAAGAGGTTTGTTCTGTTCTGCTTAATTTCAGTTCATTTCAATTCACTTCAGCTCCAATAAATTCAGTTATGTTCCTAATTTTCTTCTATTATAAACAATTCACTTCAGCTCTATTCAATTCAGTTTAGTTTAGTTTAGTTCAATTTAGTTTTGTTCAGTTCAGTTTAATTAAGTTATTTTTAGTAAATCGGAACAAGCCCTTAGTCTTTGCAATGCACAGGTTGTTAAAGTAAAATCAGATTAAAATTAATAATTTTTTCAATAATAAAAATTCTCTTCCAAAAAACAAATTAAGAGTTAGGGGAGGTAAGTTGGACGTCATAGCAATCAAATATATTCATTATAATATGGACATTTTATCGGAAACTACAAAATAAAACCCAAAAATTGTGAGAACTACCTAATGAAAAAAAATTGTTATAAGAAACTACCTAATAAAAGTTAAAATGTTGTGAAACACTAGCTACCTCTAGCTGGATTTTCACCGTTAACCAATTCTCCGATGTTGACCACCCAAAACATCCCCCAACCACCCTCTTTGGGGTTGGATGGTGATTTCCACTTGGTAGATGTAGTTTCAATAATTAAGCGGCGTTTACTAGTTTTAAAGATGAAAGCAGGGTATTTTGTGTTGGGTCAACGATGAAAATCTGGCCAAAGGTAGTTTTTTACAATATTTTACCTTTTATAAGATAGTCTCTAACTACATTTAAAAAAAAAATTATCAAGTAGTTTTTCACAAATTTTAGTTTTTATTAGGTAGTTTTCGACAAAAAATCCTTATGATATTAAGTTATGAAGAATGAATATTTAAAAAAAATCATTTAATACTCGCTTCCTCCAATTATTATTATTATTATTATTATTATTATTATTATTATTATTATTATTATTATTATTATTATTATTATCATTATTATCATTATTATTATTATCTCAAAAACAAAAGACATACAACCTACAATAAATTAGTGGGAAGTCGAGATACAATCTGGGCCCCCAATCCTCTAGCTATAGCAAAGCCTACCCTAGTTAATATATGAGCTGCAGCACGAGCCCCAATGTCTTGTGTCATTGAGAACCTTTGAATCCGCTTCAGCAACGCAACAACCTCCTTCTCTAAATTCCCAAGCGAAGAAAAGGAGAAGGGAATGAAACCATATCCAATCGCCAGACAACGAGCTTCATACTTAACCCGCTTCCGATGAGCCGCATCAGCCACAACCTGTCCCGGAACAAAGTCAGATAGCCCTGTCTGTGTCAAAGAAGAAGACCCTGTGAAGTCGACACATACATCACGACCACGATCCCATGAATAAAGTAACACATCGGCAGGTTTGAGGGCCCCGTCATTCCCTCCAGACAATCCTATGTCAACTTCCTTTCTTGCTGAAATCCCTATAGCAAATATCAACAAATGTATCCTGATCAACATTGTGCCGAATACATCCCCAGTAAAAACCCGAGAGCAAGCAGAGCACGGTGTCGAGATAGAGAACAATGGAACACCCATCCGATAACACAGCACACATCGGTATGTCTTAGCGTTCATCGTCTGACCCAATCCAGAAATAGGGACTGCCCGAAGCTAAGCACAGAGGAAGTATAAGATATCTCGATGTGCGTGTCATTGTTTTTTAAGCTGAATTGAGTCATTTACGCTATTTTTTTTTTGCTTGTTTTGAGCTCGATTTGGATCTTTAACGGTCAAAATAACCCCCGAAACCTATACACGGCGGGACATTTTTTGACATGCAAATCGATAAAATTCTCCTTTACTCCAGTGAGAATGGTGTCCAGAAAACTCACTACAAGTGCGGTTTGCATCCAAGTTATTTATTTATTTTTTTTAATAGCTTGCACCCAAGTTATTAGTTTGTGGTGTTTTGGCCACTAAACAAAATAGAGGGTGATGGATGCACCAAAAGTCATACTTCAGAGTGTTGGTACCAGTTTCGCTTAAAGAAAACAGTATAAATATGACAAAATTATTTTTGTGCGTGACATAAATAGCCAGACAATTTGTTCTCTAAGTACTACTAGCTTAAGAAAATTCCCTAGACTTGTAGTTTAAGCTTAGTTCCTTCTCTTTTATAACTTTCTTTTCTTGATTTTTGACTAGTACTATGTACACTTAATTTTCTTTTCACTATGAGCTAATTAGTGACATCATAACTCTATACTCCATAGTCCATACTAGATGAAAACATCTAGAACGCTATTACTTGTATTATTTTGACAAGAAATGAGTGTGTCTTGCTAAAATCGGTCGTGTTTATATTGATAATGACAAGGTACTTCATTTGCTAACTTTTGGTGGCCAAAGCCCAAAGGACATGACATCTTCTTCTTCTTTTTTTTTTTTTTTTTTTTTTTTTTTTTTTGAAATGAACATCTTTTTATTATTAGTTGTAAAAACACTCTTTATTCACAAAGAATTTTTTATCGATCAATCTAGTAAAAATTAGCAGGATAGGCCAGTCTCTCTCTCTCTCTCTCTCTCTCTCTATATATATATATATATATATGTATATATATATATATGGAAAATACAAGTTAACCTGCCAAATAAACAAATTTTTGTTAATCTGATGGCATTTGTGTAAATATATTTAAAAAGCAGAGTCATTTATTCAGTACTTTTGGTGAGCTGTCCAATTACTGTTTTGATTTTTGCTTTTACTATTTGGTGAGGAAATTGCACATGTACCCCTCAACTAGTACATGAAAAGACGCATATATCCCTCCACTGCTACTTAAAAAGACAATTATACCCCCAGATAAACAAATTCAGTTTATCTGGGGAATTGACTGGGTATCCAATATATATATATACAAAGCCCTTAGATCATGTTAATCGGACAGCTCACATACTTCCCGTGTCATTAATGACATTTTTTGTAATATTTTAACCCTTTTTTTTTTAGGAACATTGTAATATTTTAACTTTATAAGTAGTTTCGAGTCTCATTTTTCGAAAGTAAATGAAAATTTAGTAAAAGTAAATGAAATCAATTTTAAAGTAAATGAAATTGCCTCAAGAAAAATGAAAAAAAGTTTAACATCAGAGAAATTACGAGAATGTCATTAATGAGAGCGGGTGCAATATGAGCCCTTAGATGGAGTGCGATCAATGGCTGAAATTAGTTCCTACTTCCTATTATTCACCTTATATATATATATATATGTATATATATATATATATGTATATATATATATTATATATATATATATATATATATATATATATATATATATATATGTATGTATGTATGTATGTATATATATATATATGTATGTATATATATATATATGTATGTATGTATATATATATATATGTATGTATGTATATGTATGTATGTATGTATGTATGTATGTATGTATGTATGTATGTATGTATGTATGTATGTATGTATTAGGCACGACCATACATAACATAGAAATCACACCTGGAAGGGGTGGACAATTAGCTAGAGCAGAGGCACGGCCATACATAACATAGAAATCACACCTGGAAGGGGTGGACAATTAGCTAGAGCAGCGGGTGCTGTAGCGAAACTTATTGCAAAAGAAGGGAAATCGGCCACATTAAAATTACCTTCTGGAGAGGTCCGTTTGATATCCAAAAACTACTCATATATATATATATAAAAGGTTGTAAAGAAACACTAAATAAATTACAAACTACACGTTATTATGAAAGCAAATAAAATGAGTTTCAGCTTCTCCTATGCAGCCACTCTGAGTAAAGCACAAATATGGTCCCTGAACTTTCGTATTTGTGCACTTTTAGTCCCTCAACTTTCAGCTATGCATTTTAGGTCCCTCAACCACCATATTTGTTGTTTCTGACGTAAAAGTTGAGGGACCTTGCCTATTCAGTGAAAGTTTAGGGACCTTGAGTCAGCAATAATATATTTTTTTTTAATTTTTTTGTCAGATTTATTTATTTAATAAGAATCTTTATATGTGAGGTTGCTAATGTGATGATGAAAAAAAGTTTAGGACTACAATTAGCCACGTGGCCCAATTGAATCAGTATAACCAAAACTCAATCATTAATTAGAAATCTAAAGTAATTAAATTAAAAACAATGTTGTTCTTCAATACTAAAACCAATCAAAAATCTTTTGTTCTTTTGATTAAAAAAAAATTAATCTTAATCTATCTTTTCATGGTTTCCTCTCTCTCTCTCTCTCCCCCTCTTCCCTAACCCTAACCCCCCTTCCAATTTTCTCTCTCCTCCCTGCCCCCCTAGTCCCATGACTTACAACTCCCTCATCTCCTTTGACAATGGCTCTCACCCATAAAAAAAATTAGCCAAGCTCCGACAATGGCTCCCTCTTCTCTCACAACCACCACACCAACTCGATCAATTCGCGTTCGTTCTCATCATAGTTGCCGCCTTCCACCTTGTCGGTTCGTCGCCGCCTCCTTTTCTCCTTTTTAAAGTTGCTGCCTCATTTTCCCTTTTTAAGGTTTTTGATTTGTAATTTGGGTAGGGTTTGATGATTTTTTTTTTTACCAATATAGGTGAGGTATTGGTGGTTGTGCATTTCTGATCTTTGCGATGGTAAGGTGGGTTTCAAATCTAAGTGGTGGTAAGGTGGGGTTTTGATTCATTGGTGGTGATGAGTTTGGGATTTGGTTCGCTGGTGGTGCTGGTGACCGGTGATGTGGAGTTTTGGTTTGTTAATGGTGGTTAGTGATATGGGGGTTTCGGTTCGTTGGTGGCCTAGTGGGTGGTGACGTGGGGTTTCAAGTGGTGATGATGAGGTGGGGTTTCAATCTTAGGGGTAGTGATGTGGGGTTTCAGATCTCGGTGGTGGTTAGACTGTGAGAGGGTGGTTACTGGGTGGGGTGTTGTTGGTGGTGTGAGTTGGTCGGGTGGGTTTTTGGTGGTTGTGGTAGAGTTTCAGATCTAAATGGTGGTGAGAGAGAGTGGTGGTACAAGGTTAGTGCTAGTGGTGTTTAATAGGTTACTAATTAAAGTTTTCTTTCTTATTTTAGTCAAAGTAATAAATATTAACATCAATAGCTGAAAATAAAAATATAATAACTCATGGTCCCTAAACTTTTGCTGACTAAGCAAGGTCCCTTAATTTTTTTGGTCAGAATCACCAAGAGTGATGGTTGAGGGACCAAAAGTGCATAAATGAAATTAAAGTTGAGAGATTAAAAGTGCACAAATACGAAAGTTCAGGGATCGTATGTGTGCTTTACTCCAGCCACTCATGTGCATGTACTTTATTGCTTTTCATACATGGAGTACTTATTTTTTAGGAAAATTTGATTCTAATAATCCAACCTTTCGCCGGTCTTATTTTATTAATCCCACCTTACAATTATTGTTGATTAATCCCACCTTTAGGGGACATCTTATTCTATTAGGTCAACCTGATCAGTTACCTGTTCTTTAGGGTTTTTTTTTTTTTTTTTTCAATTTGTAACAAAAGTTAAAGATTTTTTTTAAAAACAAAATAATAAAAACTCAGCAACCATCCACATCCCACCTTCCCTCAATCCCCTGGATTCCGTCAGCCTAATTTCCCGGCAACCCAACCAATTCCGGTTAGTTTATTTCCGTCCCGCCCCTAACCTACCTTTTCCGGCCGAATTCCCTCCTTCCCCTCTCTTTCCGTTGTTCTGGCCAACCCTCCCTTCGAAAACCCAAAAAAAAACTTCCGGCCACTCTCCCCCCTTCCCCAATCCACCGAAATCCTTGAAACTCCAAATCCCACCCATTGAAACCGTTGCAACCCGAAACCCCACCCACCGAAACGGAAAAGGGAAACTAGGTGGGGGTTTCGGGTTTCTGTCGGAATATAAAGAGGGGCGGGGGGAGATTTTGGTCGTGCATGTTGGTGATTGGGGTGGCAAGGGAAATAGGGAAGGGTAGCAGGGTGGCTACGGTGGTTTGGGACGGGCGGTAGAGGTGGCTTGACTGGCTGAGAGTGTGTCGGCTTCCATGGAGTTGAGGGGCAGGGAAGACGGAAAGTTAGAGGGAAAGGAATGAAAGAGGAAAGAAGAGTGAAAGTGATAAAAAAAAATAAAAACAAGAAAAAAGAAAGAAAGAAAAACAAAAAAGATTTTTTTTAAAAAAAATTAAAAAATTATTATTAGACCAATCTTAGCATGACACGTGGATAGGTTACCTGTTATAGAAGGTGGATGACCTGTTGGGCCTGATAAAATGGAATGGAGTGTAAAGGTGGGATTAATCTGCTGTAATCGAAAGGTGGGATTAATAGAATAAGACTAGCAAAAGATTGGATTATTAGAATTAAATTTTTTATTTTTTATAGTCCATCCACATTTCTCAAAGTAGTTTTTTTTTCTCTTTTTCATGTAGTATACTAGTATATACTTCATCCTCTCATTTTCTTAAATCTCGTTTTCTGCCTAACAAAAACTATATTTAGAGACAGAGGTAGTACTAACTACGACTTGCTAGGTAATGACCGCAGAGTACTTGATAATCGGACTTGTAATAAGTTGATAGGTTTATAACTACACTTCGTATTATTGTTTTATATCTTGATTACAGTTTTTGATTCGTCAGCAATATCGTAAGGGATGGTTAGTTTCGTCAGTACCATCGTCATGGTAGTTGGTATATAAGTCAAACTTCTAGTTGTCCACTGTATTCCATGCTACAAACTTGGTCTTCAAATAGGATAAACACAAGCTTTCTGAATAAATAATTTTCGTCCGTTTCAACTTTCAAACTTCAATTGACTAAATATCTTTTTCATCAACCACGAATTATTTAGAAATGTCTCAATACCCACAATTGACCTATATTAATACACATCAAATAACAGGATAACATGCCACATACGTTTTATATAGATATAAATTACTTTTAAGAAAACATAAATGTACATTTTTATTACCACCTCTGCCCACGATAATCTGCATCAAATGTACTTTTTGCGGACTCATACGCAAAACTTTTGATGTAGTTTAATTAAGTTTGAGTGGGTTTAATTAAATAGTAAAAAGGAGGAAAATGGGAGAGAGAAATTGGTCCCATATGTTTAAGTGTGATAGTGGGTTAAAGTGAGTGGGAAAGAGGAGAGAGAATGTGGTCACATATGTTTAATTAAAAAAGGTTAGACAAAATTAAAACAAAAAAGTAAGGGTAAGATGGTCTTTTTACACTTTAAATTTTACTAAAAGAGGAAAGAAAAAAATTTGTTACACATAATAGAGAGCACCTATTTATGGCAAATGTTGCAGATAATTGTGGGCGAAGAGAGTATAAGTATATATAGCTCATGTGGTTAGAGTTTTTCTCCCAATTTTAGATATCTTGAGATCGATTCTCATTATCCGTGACAATGAACAAGCCAAATGCATTAAGACAACCTAATATCGTCATGCTACATGCATTTAGACAATGTAATCATCTACTTTCTCTGTTTAATTAAGGTTCTGTTCTCTTACGTTGAAATTCAGTTCAGTTCAGTTCAGTTCAGCTCCTAATTTCCTTCTCTTATAAAATATTCATTCAGTTCAGTTCAGTTCAGTTCAGCTCAATTCAGCTCAGTTCAGTTCAGACCAGCTCAGCTGAGTTCATTCAATGAGAACAGGCCCTAACATTACATTAAAGTAAAAAATACAATAAAATTGCTCGTGATCATAAGCATAAAACCATAAACTAAAAAAAAAATGCTAAGGAATTAAGGATGCATGGGATATGTATATTATGAACAATGATTACTTGATAATCAAATATGTTTTTTTTGAAAATGTGTACAATCCAATATGAAACTTTCTTAAAAACCAAGTGATGCAATATTAAAATAAGAGAAGCTGTACTTTCTCCGTTTTTTGATTTTTGCAACAGTTTGACTTTTATACTATTCATGTGGTTTACTTTGACTAGCTTTGATGATTTATAAATAAGTAAAAAATATAGTCACGTGGGATCTTATTATATTCATCTGAATTTATATTATTTTAAGGAAAAATTGATTTTAATAATCCCACCTTTTGCCGGTTCGCTGTTAATAATCCCACCTTTTGATTATCATCTAATAATCCCACCTTTATAGGACATTCTTTTCTATTGGTCCCTAACCTGTTGGTAACCGGTTTTAATAGGTTAAGATGTTATGTGTCACTTTGTGATTGGTTGAAAATATTTTTTTTATTAAAAAAACTAAAACTAAAAAAAAAACTAAAAAAAAAAACAGAAAAATAACCAGCCCACCTAACTTTAACCCCCAACGCCAACCCTCCTGCAGTCTTCCCCGGAGCACTGGCTCACCCAGCCTCTTCCCCTGCACCGCCAATCTATCCCCCTCCTACGCACCGGCCGACCAGTCCCCTCCCCCGTGAATTGATGAACGTAACACTTGATAAAATTAAAAACGAAGATTGTGACATCGATGGTTATCGGAACGACGGAACCTAATTGGCGACAAACTGGTTGCGATTTATTGTGTTGAAAAGGGTTAAAAGGAAAAGGAGATCGACGGAGAATTTGGACAACTGATGAAAGGGGAAAAGGCAGTAAATAGGGTTTTCCGGGTTAAGGGTTTAGCCGACGGTGGATGGTCGTGGTGGGGTTAAGGAGGAAAGGGACTAAGGGAGGGGGTTGGGTCGTCAGACGGAGCGGGCGAAGAGGATGGTTGGCCGGCACCGGAAGCAGATTGAGTCGGTCGGCACTCCGGTGAGGGTTGGAAAGTGGGGTGGCGGGTGGCGCGTGGAGGTTTGGCTGGCCATATATTTTTTTTTTTTTAGGTTTTTTTGTCAATTAAATTTTTTTTACAAAAAATTACCCAATGTAAAGGTTACCGGTCAAAATGGACCAATAGAAGAGAATGCCCTATAAAGGTGGGATTATTAGATAATAATCAAAAGGTGGGATTATTAACAGCGAACCGGCAAAAGGTGGGATTATTAAAATCAATTTTTCCTTATTTTAACATCAAATGTTTAGAATTTTTACACATTGGTAATTAAATATATTAACAATTGAAATCATGTATTGACAAGCGGAAAAAGAGAAGTGTTGTAATTAAAAAAACTAGAAGAAATATTAATTAAGGTCAAGTACATAGTATATCACTATATACTAATAACAAATTAATGAAAGAATATTAAACTACTTTACAAAGATAAAACGAATGTCAACCTAAGAATTTTAAAAGTAAAAAAAAAAAAAAAAAATCAACAAACAACAGGAGCAAACGTTCCAAACTCTAACAAACCATTCTCCAATGGAGTCAAATTCAAATCAAAGCAAATAACTCTTCTATGATCATGATCCTCAATACTACTCCTGCTCTTGCTCACACCAGATAATTCCGAAACACCGTGTGATGAAGAACCATCAAGCGAAAGCGAAAGCGTAGGAGAGCCTCTAAAAGTAGGTTGATGTTGTGATCTAGCAAGGGCAGCTCTATGACGTCTCATGTGACCTCCCAACGCTTGTCCAATAGGAAATTCTAACCCACATATAGAGCATTCATGTATTTTCGCCTTTCGTACATCGCTTTGATGTTGTTCACCTTCAATATTTAGTAGCCTAGGTTTTTTGTGGCTAGCCCGGTGTCCACCCAATGCTTGGAAGGACGGGAATTGCCGGTTACACGTCTTGCACTCGTAAATTCGGCCACCGGTACTCGGCTCGAGTGAGACCGTGTTCGGGGGTTGGGATAGGAGGATTAAGTAGTTGGCCATTGCTATGGTCCTTTCTAGCTCTATCTCTTCTCTACTTCTCTTAATACCCATTTTTGTGATTATGTGAATATGTGAATGTGCTTGTTTTTTTTGGTTTTTTTGGATGTTATTTTATGGGTGTGATTTATGATGTAAGTTGAGACACGTTAAAAGAGTATTTATAAAGGATTTTTGAGGTTCGGTTGCTTTGAGTTTGACTTTTTATTGATTGGGCAGCTTTGACTTGTTTGAATAATGGAAAAAGTAATTAATTGGATTAGATTAGACAGCATACGTTACTCGGAGTAGTTTGAAGTTAGGTAAAGTAACAAACGTGTGCTTCAAAATTTTCAAACATAGCAAATTGCATTCGTATTCAAGTTTGACACATGTTCACTTTTTATTTTAAATGCATGTATGTATGATTCTATGGACATTTTGTCACATGGTTTTAATATTTTCTGTAATTAATTTACAATTTCTTAAGCAATCATCAAACAATTTACTTCGTCCATCTATAAGATCCCTGTTTATCTTGGGTACGAGTAGACAGTAGTTAGAAGAGTTACTGTGTTAACGGATGAATCTCAAGATTTAATTTTTAGCTATTTTTGGCAACATATAAAGGAAACTCAACTCATAATTAGACTTGTTCACTTTATTTTCTTTTTGTTGAAATGAAATTATTTTTATTGAACTTAAATTATTTTTACTGAACTGAAATTAATTTTAATGAATAGATTTTATTTTGCTGAACTGAATTTTTTTTTTACTGAATTTATATTATAGTTCTTCTTTAAAGTTACTGATTTTTACTGAAATGAAATTATATTTAATGAACTGAAATTAATTTTACTAAACCGAAATTAATTTTACTGAACTAAACTTATTTTCACTGAACATGATGATTATTATTTTTACTAACTAAACTTATTTTCATTGAACATGAATGAATGAATTTAATTGGAATTATTTTTACCGAATATTTTTTTTAAGGTAAAGTGAATTGGATCTTAACCTAATGGTAGAAGTTCAAGATTAGTTTTATTATACTCTATCATTAAACATGAATGAATAAAGGCAAGAAGAATAATTGTTAATTGTACGTTTTTAAAGGAAAGTGAGAAAATAATACACTCCGCAATAAGAAAATATATGAGTAAAGGTAAAATACAGTCCCTAAACTTTTGTATTTGTGCATTTTTAGTCCCTGTCAACTTTTTTGTGCACTTTTGGTCACTCAACAACCACTCTTGGTGTTTCTGACCAAATAGTTTAGGGACTTAGCCTAGTCAGCATAGTTTAGGGACCATGACTCATATTTTTTTTGTTTTTCCTTTTTTTTTCCTTCAGAATTTATTAAAAAATTCCCAAAACACCCATTAATAATTTATTTAGAAAAAAAAAAAAAAACAATCCTTTATTTTTTTGTCAGAATTTTATTTTTGTCACAAACTCACTAATAAAGTAATAAGCACAAACAAAAAATCAATCAAAATCCTTCAAATTTCTCGATCTAAAATTTCCCAATTTCTCTCTCCTCCGATCACCATTTTTCCGATCAATTGCCGGGAATTTGAACCCTAATTCCCAAATTCAACCACCATTTTCACCCAGATCTCGACAATGAATTGGGAATGGCTTCTTCGGAAGCCGATTCCCGGCTGAAACAAGTGCTGGTGCCTTCTCTTGAGAGAGAAAATTGGGAAGGAGGAGAGGGAGTTAGAAGCCATGGGTGAAGGGAGGAGAGAGAAAAAAAAAAACAATCCTTTATTTTTAATAAAGAAAAGTATTATTTTTAATTACTTTAGATTTATAATTAAAGCTGATTTTAAAAATACTGATGCTGCGTGTTTTGGTGATGATACAATCGGCTTTGGGAGGTGGTTCGTGACTCAACTTGTTGGAATATAAATGGAGTGTTTGATGTGGAAATTGGTGAAGCTATGGCAGCTCGACATGGTCTGTCAATTGCTATTGAAGCTGGTTTCAGGCAAATTACTTTGGAGACTGATTGCTTGAAGTTAGCCCGTTCTCTTCAAAGCAGCAAATCTGATCAATTAGCTTTTGGTTTGATTACAAACTATAAAGGATATTCTTTCTCTTGCTAAGTCTTGCTCAAGGATTAATTTCACTCATGTAGGAAGGGAAGGGAATGGGGTAGCACATAAACTTGCCCATAGTAGCAAGAACTACGACTCTATGCGGGTTTGGTTAGAAGAGATCCCTGTTAGTGCTATTGATGTTGTAACTTTGGATGTTTTGAACTTAAAGTTAATAAACTCTTAGCATTTTCCGTAAAAAAAATAATAATAACAAAAAAAAAAAAAAAGTAAAAAATAATGCTGCCAAAAAAAAGAGGAAAAATGACAAAGTAATTAAAAGATTATTTTTTAATAAATACTGAAGAAAAAAAAATGGAAAAACAAAAAAAATATGAGTCATGGTCCCTAAACTATGCTGACTAGGCTAAGTCCCTAAACTATTTGATCAGAAACACCAAGAGTGGTGGTTGAGGGACTAAAAGTGCACAAAAAAGTTGACAGGGACTAAAAGTGCACAAATACAAAAATTTAGGGAATGTATTTTACCTTTACTCGAAAATATATTGTAGGATATAGATATATATCGATTAAAACTGGATAAAGAAATTACTAGATTATTGGATCCACCCATATGTGAAAAATGAAATTTTTTTGTGGATTGAGGGAATAAGCTTAGGGCCTGTTTACTTCAGCTTAATTTCATTTCAATTCAGCTCCAATCAGTTCATTTCAGTTCAGCTCTTAACATCCTTTCTCATAAAATATTCATTTCAACTTAGTTCAGTTCAGCACCAATCAGTTCTATTCAATTCAGCTCTGTTCAGTATTTATTTTTTTTTTGTTCAAATGAGGAAGAATTCCAATCACAAGAAAAGAAATAGAAAAAACAAAACAAAAACAAATAAAAAAACAAGCCAAGCAACAAAAAACACCCTAAACTACCATCAGTTCAGTAAATGAGAACAGGTCCTAAGAAACCTTCATTAGAAGTTAACTTCTTAAGCCTATTATGATTAAGGCCTCATTTACTTCGCCTTTTTTTTGCTAAACTGGATTTTTTTTTTCTACTGAACTGAAATTATTTTTGTTGAATTGAAATTAATTTTAGTGAATTGAAATTATTTTTATTGAATTTATATTATATTTATTCTTTAAATTTACTAATTTTTACTGAACTAAAATTTTTTTTATTGAATCGAAATTATTATAATTTTTTACTGAACTAAAATTAATTTTACTGAATAGAAATTATTTTTATGGATATTATTTTTGTAAGGTGAAGTAAATAGGGCCTAAATATCAATTTGGGTCATTGGTTGAGTTTAAATAGGATTGGGTTTGAATAGGAATCAGTTTGGTTGATTATTTATTTTAGGTTTAAGTCATGGTAAATTATTGTGTCCATAATAAAATAATAATTCGGGTCACTTTGGGTTAGGTTTAGTAATTTTGGATAAGAATTTTAGACACCTTTAATACCTTATGAATACTACTATTGTTTTTTTTTTTTTTTATTTATGTACAATATATATATATATATATATATATATATATAAAATAATTAATATTTAGAATATATACAATGAGGGAGTATGTGAATGATGGGCAGGGGCGAAGCCGGGGGGTGGTTGGCAAGGCCCCAACCCCGGTTACCCAAATTCGATGTAATGCTAATACGTAGTGGAAAAAACTTTGGCTTTGAAAATTTTGTGATACATGCAAGAAATTAATTAGTAACCTCTTAGTCTTGATATTTTTTTATTCCTATCTTGGCCCCTAATGTTGAGACACGTTTAATAAAACATGAAATGAAAGTATTGAAATCATAGTTTATTTATTCTATCTTATGAGAGTATGTAACTTATAAAATAATTTGTAAAAGAAAAAGAAGGAAAACTAGGCGAAAGTAGTCCACCATACTAAATGTAACCAGAAATTAAAGTGTGAAAGGTACTATATTGTTAGATGAAATTCGGAGTACTAAATTTTGTGAAAACTCAAAGTGTGTGAACTTGGACACAATATGTATGTAAAAAGCATTTCCAGAAGTGCTCATGTCAGGCTTACAGTGGGTATAAGCTGAGGTCATAGCTTAAGTAACAATTATGATTAGTCTTCAGTGGAATTTTAGTAGTATTATTTTACGTAGTACAACAATTAAGTAGTGATCATTAGTTGAGCATTCTAGTTTCTAAGAACCTTCATTATATTCTAGAAATGTTTGCTTTATCATCAAATACGGAGTAATTAATTTGGTGTGCTTTGAATGTCAAATCTCAACAATCCACCAATAAGTTTTTACATATTTTATGCGACTTTAGGAAGATAATTATTCCAGAAGTGCTTACATTCTTAATTGACTTAGCTTGAGAGAAACTATTTTTGCAGTGACTTTAATAACTTGAGTCATGAATAGCTCTAATAACACAGTGTTAATATTAAATTATAATTAAATATTATTATTTAAAAACCAACAAACTAAGAGATTACATCAATACCTACAAAATATTTTTGTATTCGTTAATACTATTGAATAAGTACTTTGGTATCATGATAATATCATCTATAATATAATTTAATACCAACGCATGTTATTGGAGGTCATTCATGACTCACATTATAATAGGCAGTGAATTCCTCGGTGAAATATGAAAAAACAAGGAATAATGTTTCTGTTATATTTCCTCCGTTCCAAATTAGATGACACAATTTGATTTTGTGCACTATTCATATAAATTGCTTGGACTTTGTTTTGAGATATCGTATTGAGAAAAAAATATAGTGATGTAGGGTTTAGTTAAATTTGTCTCAACATTTATTTTTTAAATATCAAAATTTTATATATTTTTTTTCTCATATGCTATAAGGGATATTTGTATTAGAAAGTATGCATTGACATACATGTCTAAATGAAATATCTTCAAATATAAAACGGGAAAGCATGTAACATTCTTACAATAGATTATGAATTTTCTTACAATATTGTTAGATTGTGACAACTTATGGTATATTACTATTTACCGGCTATCTATAAGTTGTCACATAACATATTCCTAATAAAAAAAAATGGGAATTTTCTTAAATATGAGAATTTGATTTACCTTTGAAACTTAAACATTATTTGGTACTCAATTGTCTATTTGTCTGCCTATCAGGGTGTCATTGAATTATAGCAAGTCATTGGTTTAGCTATTTAGTACGTGTGAATGTGCTTAATTAGTAATCGTACACTACTAGAAATAGACAAAATAGCGACAGATATCTTGCGACAGACGGACTAATAATTTTGTCGCTAATTTCAAAATTTCCGACGGATTTAGTTTCGTCGCAATATTTCGACGGAATTAATGTATTCCGATGACTTTTCCGTCTTCCGACAGAATTTTCCCTCGGAAATTAATTTGCGACAGAAAATTCCGTCGAAAGATATTAATTCCGACGGATTAATTTTCCTCGAAATATATAAGGTTTTGAAAAATA